ATTCACCTCCTTTTTTTCTAACTTGCCTCATTTTCTGAAATCTTATTTTTAGCTTGGTTTTATCATCAACCATTCATTTTTGCTGAACTCACAACCTTGCATTAACTTTCCGGTCTCCTCCAGTCGATGTCAACTACAGATACATATAGTTCTTGATAGACAAATAGAGTCCACTCCCCTGACTAATGACCAATAAGTGACTTGCATTTAATAGCATAGTTATGGAAAGAAGAAGCTTAGTGGCTTCTGTCATCCCTCCACACACTCTTGGTAACCAGTGATGATGTAAGAGATGAGCAGCCTCCTCCTCAGGGGCACAGTGGGCTCTGTGCTGCTGCATGCCAAGTCGCCAGACACAAGTAAAATAATATGGGGAACACACCTAAGACCACAATAACAAATGTTTTCCAAGCCTGGTGGGACACTATGTATGTAGTTTCCTGTCTAAACATTCTGCCTCGTTTGAGCAAATTTAATTGTCTACCCATTCTCTAATCTATGGACTATATCTCGTACATTGATATCTGTCTTAGTTGGGATTTCTGTTGCCATGAACAGACACCATGACTATGGTAACTCTTACAAGAAAACATTTCATTGAGGGAGGCTCGCTTACAGTTTCAGCGGGTCAGTCCATTATCATCATGATGAGAAGCATGACAGCACGCAGGAGGACACGATGCTGGCTCTATCTTGGCTTGGAGACTCTGGGTGGTATCCTGAGCATAGGAAACCTCAAAGCCCACCCCCATAGTGACACACGAGGTCATACCCACTCCAACAAAGCTACACCTCCTAATAGTGCCTCTCCCTATGAGATTATGAGGACCAATTATATTCAAACTACCACAATATCTAAAACTGTGTTTTCCTTATCTGTATTCTTACTTCCATATCTAGATCTTAGCACCATTAGTATTTCTTTGTATCTAGTACAGAAAGGACTTTCAGGATGCATTTAATTAATATTCATTGAATTAGAGGAGAGCCTCTTATTCAGCATAAGCCATATAGAGGCAACTATGAAGCAATGATCTGCAACACTGTGCATTCAGAATATGAAAAGGAATTCTTCTAAGAATGAGGCTTCAAATAGCTGGGTCAGCAAAGTACTTGCCACAAGGCATGAAGACTTGAGTTTGATTCCTAGAACCACACTGAGGAAAGCAAAACAGCAACAAAAAGGTGTGCTAATGGTGGCCCATGTTTGCAATCCCAGTGCTGAAGAGGACAGGAATGCCAGATCTCTGGGGATCCATGATGGACACTGAGGGATTCAGGAGGTTGAATCAGCCTTTGTTCCCTGAAGCTGTTTCGTGTCAGGTATATGGTTAGAGCAACGAGAAAAGTAACTAATGCAATGGCTCTTGAGGTATTGATGTGGATTGGCCCTGTCTGAAAATGAACAAACAACCAAATGCAATCACTTTCAAAGAATTCCTTATTTGTGATCCAGAAGAGACTATCCCAGTTAACACTTAAGGAACCACCCACATGCGTATGAAAAACAGATAGTGACAATGTTACTTATACCTAACAACTGAATTATGAGTGTTCTTAATGTGATTCCACAATATTTCTTTTGGCTTTTTTTTTTTCAACTACTCAGCAGCACATCCTGCTATCCACAGCGAGAAAATGGATGAGAAATACAACTTTTCATGATTAAGTTTAAAGGCTGGGTGTGTTGTTTCCACTTCTGGATGAACCCAGAAGTAACTATAGAATCAGAAGTTTGCCGGTCAGTTCCCATAAATAACTACAATGAATTGGTTCAGAACTCACACAGGGTTTTCAATAGGATTCAAGGCCATCAAGTTCATGCATGGTCTTCTTAAGAATAGATCTTCATATGATGTGCCCATAAGCTGGAAAAAAAAAACTTTTTCTTTATAAACCTATTAATACAACTCAAAAGAAAATAGTATATTTTTAAAACACACGAAGTACTATTCATATAAATTGAGACAGCCAGTAATAGCCCCCAGTCTTTCATTCAAAAATGTCATGAATAACAGATCTTAATATCCCGAAGAATACTTTAGATTAGCTGCTCAGTGTGGCCTGAGAAAGTATGTGCTTGCAAAAACTGTTCGGCAGATCAAAATCTTCTTGCATTATAGTTAACAAGTTTTCTCACTTAGTATAAACCAGTACCCTAACAATAAAGGACTTTGTGACATTCAAAAGGAAAGGGCAGTTTTAGAATGTGACCTGGAAAAAAAATTGTATTTTCAGGGACTCAAACTGCTTCATCTTGTTTTAGTTTCAGTAGCTGGGACAGCCAGTGTTTTTGTGGCTGCACAGCTTAGTTCAAACATGTGACTTCCAGAGGCAGGGTTTTTACCTTGGGTGCATGAGAAATTGAAACCCTTCCCTCCACAGAAGAGCAGTAAAGCATGTGACCTCCTAGGCTTCCTCCCACCTCTATGGAACCAGAGCTGTACAAGAAGACTTCAAGGGGGCCCTTTCCTGATCATCACCCACGTCACCTAACATGGTTTCTGCCCGAGTGATTGGATTCTTCATGAACAATTCATTGAGGCACACCTGCATAGATAACTTATCTTACAGGTTTGGTTCACATGGAGAAGTAAATTAATCTTAACATGCATGAGAAGAGATTTTAAACAAAGCTTGTAAGCCAAATTCATTGACGGCATTGTGTTCCCTAATGTTTAAAGAAGGCGAACCGAGCAAGATGCTTTCACATTTGGTGAAGAATGAGCAGCTGATTGAATGCTCAGGGTGCGGTGCTTAGGGACTAAGTAAATGATAAGCCTTTAGCTTTGGGAAATGAAGAACAATGAGACACCCACAAGCCATCTGTAGAAGAAAGCACCAGGTAAAGACTCTTGAAGAAATAGACACAGGCACTGAAAGGGCCTCTTGTGGGCCATAAAGCATGGGAAACGTTATGAATTATTCAGGGTGTAGTTCTATTAGCCTCTCCTCCAGCCGTGACTCTGAAGAGGATCAGCCTGTGCTGGTATCCAGTGTGGCGGCCCTTGCCTCCTTGTATGTTCTCTCAGACACATTCCATAACATTGTATCTTCATGAGTCACCACATGAGGGGATTGTTCATGGCTGTAACAGAGCCAATTCTATTTTGATAATCCCAAATGATATGTTGTGGGGCTTTTCTTCTCTTTGTTCTCTTTTTAATGATAGATTAATCTTAGAAGCCATAACACTTTATTCTTTCTAGATGCTTTCCTGTGATGAGAAGATGAGGGTTTGTTTTTGTTGTTGTTATTTGCCTTCTGTGACTTTCTTACCTATTGCTGCTGATTTCCCATTTGTCACCCAATAATTTCCTGAGTTTGATGATGGTAAAGAAATGTAGCCAAGAGTCTTGTTGGTGAGCATCTCACAGCACTTGTTCCAGATCAAAATGAACTTGTTTAAAACGCAGACGTGTATAGTTTCTGTTCTGAAAGCTTTTAAGGTGAATAGCTCTTATGTTCCACTTAATTTGTAAAACTGTCACCAAGGAATGGCATGGCCACAACAATTATTTTTAGCATTTATTTGTTTATTGTATGGGATGGGAGACACATGCACCAAAGTGATGTGTGCAGATCAGAGGACAACTTGCAAGAATCTGTTCTCTCCCTGCATCATGTGACTTCAAAGGGGTTGAAACAAGCAAGGATGATAAAATTATTGGCAAGCTCCTTCAGCCACTAAGCCATATCGCCAGCCTAATACTGCCATTTTTGAAAGAATACAATATAAAGATCTCTCTCTCTGTGTGTGTGTGTGTGTGTGTGTGTGTGTGTGTGTGTGTGTGTGTGTGTGTGTTTTCCTGTGCATGCCTGCCTGCCTGCCTGCCTGCCTGTCTCTATCTGTGCATATGTGTGTGATTTGTCAGATTTCTAGACCACATCTGCTGGACCCAATAGCTGCCCTTAGCATCCTCCCCCAGCCTCTAAAGGGGACTGTTAAGGACAAACCTACAAAGCCCTTGATGACCTACAGCAGAAGTGCTGGGTACACAGTCTTGGAGATCTATTTCCTTCAAGGCACTGAGAAGTAAAACAGACTCACCACGCTCCCTGCCTTGCACCACCATATATTTTGATGGCTGGTAGGCATGGAGAAAGATGAGCAATTCAAGGTTCCTTTTCTTCAGAAAGCCCACATCCAATGAGAAGACACAGATAATACATTGAACAAATATAAACAAATACAAGTGACATTGAGAGATTAAATAAAGCTGTAAAGCATCAAGAAAAAGCCAGTGGGACAAAGTCACAGCCCGGAGGACAGAGCTTCTATTGGGGATAGCAGAGGTTGCAGGGGCAGCACTGACTCTGGCTTTGGGGGACTCCATCAGCTTCCCTTAAAGGAAAAGGTGTCCATTGAAGGTAACCCCCTCACTGTGCCCTCATAGACAGTGGTTTGGGCATCAGCAGGAGTGCTTAGAATTGCTGTTGTCCCAACTCAAAGGCCTCACTAATAATCTAGAGCACCTAGGCTTCTTTTGGTTCATTCTGGCCCACAAGTTGTGTCACCATACATAGGTTGAAATAGAAACCGACAGAAAGGAAACAAAAGATTTTCCTTCAACATTTAGCTGGTATCAAACTTTACATTAGGAAAAAATATGCTTTGAAACTAGCCCTCTGTGTACTGGTGTATATTTTCAGCCCGTTTACTGAATAAATGGATTTATTTTTAAATGTTTTGAAAGGGGCTGTGGAAATATTCCTTACTGTTTTGCTAACTACTGTTTAAAAATATCTAGTAGGCTGAAGTAAGGGGTAAGGGTTAGGATTTGGAGACTTCAGTAGCAATTTTTAAAATGAATATAGTTATTTCATTCATTTAAATGCTTTGGGAAGCCTTGTATTTTTATACCTGCTATTCATTTCCAGCTCTCTTTTTCCTTGCTCATGGAGTTGAGTCAGCAAGAGAAAAATATTCAAATTAGACTTGTCATACAGGGGGAAAAGAATCTGACTCTGTCGGGGTGGGTGGAGGGGGAAAAAGCAACTTTTTGTCAGTCTTTTGTATCTCAGCAGCTGGATTCATTGCTGCCATGGCAACAGACCACATGATGAGGTGTATTAGATTGCTGTGTTGAGCACAAGGGGAAGAATGAACACAGCTTTTTATTGAAGTTAAAGGTTACTTTGGAGTTTCTTCTGTGGAAGTGTGTAAGGTCCGGTATCGTAGCGTTCAGCAGATGTAGCACTTTCGCTGAAGAATTAAGGGCATGTTGGTGCATTAAACTACAAAAACCAGGTAAGGTACAATCGGAGCTACAGATCTGAGCTCTCTTACCTCTGAGGCAGTAGCATAACTTGCTGGTTGGAATTCCATTGTTGGCTTCACTCCCACCCCACCCCCATCCCCACATGGGCACAGGAAAAATTTCTGCTGTCCCTTTCCTAAGTTCTCCACCTCTGATTTCACCTGTTTTTAAGCAGAAATTTTCATGTTCTAATGCGTTGCGAACTTTTAAAGTTGTGCAGCTGTGTGTGTGTGTGTGTGTGTGTGTGTGTGTGTGTGTGTGTAAGAAATGTAGAAAGGAAGCAGAAAGAGCAGTCATTAATGCCTTTGGATCAATGTGCAACTGAGTGAAGTGTTTCCTTGTTTTGTCCTTTGCAAATGCTGTTTTCCTCAAAGGCGTTGGCCCACGGCTTCTTGTCTCCTGCTAAATGAAGCAGGAAGACCAATTCTCCAGCAGGTTGCTCAGCGAATTCACTGTGTACATGCTTTTCTTCCCTTTTGTGTCATACTGACTTCCAGCCCCATCCAGTATCAGAGTTCCATTTCATCTACAGTTTTTACCATGTGTGTCAATTTATCGGAATTCTTTTCATTCACATATCGCAACTGTGTGTGTACTAGAGGAATTAAAAACAGAAGTAAATACAATATGGGTGAGTGCAAAATGAACTCTTGCTTAGAGAGGAACTGCAAGAACTGAATGTAAACAATGCAATGTGGTTTGGTGAGCCATCGAATTCCAGGGTGAACATAGAAGCCTCCTACTGACTTGGTCACATGTCACCCTGGCAGTGGAGGGAGGGGGGCGCAGAGGGTGCTTTGAGATGCTCTGAGAAAGCCCGGGAACAAGAGAAAATGTCTTTATTGATAACTTATTCTGGTTCCTTGTTCACAGATTTTACTGACGTTTTTATGTTTCATTTCTTCAAAAGAGTAGGATTTCTTTTAACTTTTAGGCAAGGGCAAACCATGCAACTTCTCTCATTTGTTCAAAGTTGTCTTGGAAGCTTGCAAAGACAAGATCCAACTAAATAATTGCAAAGCTTACTGTTACTATATAGATTATTCACCATGGACTAAGGATAATCTTTGAAAAATACTTTCTTGTCACTGATTGGCATTTAAGACAAAAACCAATATATTATTCCAATATATTATTGAGCCATGTATGATGCTTTCTTCAAAAAAGAGAAACTTGGATTTTGTTAGAGTCATTTATGCTCTGCTTTTACTGTTGTTTCCCTGGTTTACAGTTTTAATGTTCTAAACTAGCTCCCAAATTTCACCTGGAGTTACAATCACTATTCTGAACACACTTGCGCATGCTTTTGAAATAAGAGGGCTGTTTCCCACGATAACGAATATCAAAAGCATTCTAATCACAACTCACATTTGCAAAAGATTAGTGCTCCTCTCAAGTCCTCTTTTTTTTTGCCTTTGTTGTTTATAATACTGAAGAACCTTTCCGCATGTCCCTCAAGACATGAAATATTTTCACAGCCATAGGTTGTTACTACTAGACGATGAGGAATTTCCCAAATCAGTGGCAAATCATACTCATAAAGGATTTTAAAATGGGAACTTCTCAAAGCTGGCAGGCAGTATCTTAGGTTTAAAAAACGAATGCTCTGTGAAGGGATAAAGAATGGTCTGACTTTATTGAAAGAAAAAAATAAAAATATGCAGAAAAAGGAAAGGGAAGACAAAGAGAGACAGGGAGAGGATGTGACTCAGATGACAGAAGACAAAGTTTCAATGCTCTACACTGCTTATTCTCATTACTGCTGAAGATACTCGGTGTATGTCTTCATTGAGATTTCTGTTGTTGTGCTAAAGCATCATGGTAAAAGCAACTTTTTAAGAACACGGTTTATTTCAGTGAACAGTTGTAGCCAGGCATGATTGGGAGTCAGGGCAGAAACTCAAGGCAAGACCTGGAGGCAGGAACTGAAACAGAAACCATGGTAGTGCACCCCAGGACAAGGGTTGGTACCACCCACAGTGAGTGGGGCCATATCACATCAATCATTAATCAAACAATTGTTCTACAGACTTGTCTACAGATCAATAATATGGAGGCATTTTTTTCAATTAAGATTCCCTCTTCCTAAATGTGTTTAGGTTTGTGTCAAGCTGACAACAACCAACCATACTGTATTAAAAAAAAAAAGAAAAGAAAAGCACCAAATTGTACAGACAAGGTCGAATTACTAAAAAGCACTCTCACCTAAATATTCCAAGTTTAAAATATGTATGCTATACAGCGCATCTTTTTTATTTCTTTTGTTTTTTTTTTTTTTTTTTTTTTTTTTTTAAGACCGATTTCTCTGTGTAGCCCTGGTTATCCTGAAATGCTGTCTGTGTAAATCAAACTTACATAAAACCCAGGGATCCACTGCATCTGCCTTCCAAATGCTGGGATTAAAGGTGTGCTGCACCACCACTTGGCTCAATATAAAGTTCATTCTATTAATGTATGTGTGTGTGTGTACCAGCTAATGTTCTTAGCCCTGATATAAGCTAAGATCTAGCAAGAAATGTGCTCAGTAAACAGTCTCTATCCAAATGTCAAGTTATTATGTCATCTGACACTAGACTACATGTGAGTATCCATCTCTGTAGCCATTGTCATAAAGAGGTCAGAAGACAGAAGCTTCTTTTAGGTGGCCAAGTGGGTAAAGGCACTTGCCACATAAGTCTGGCAACTTGAGTTTGAAGGGCATAATCAACACCACAAAGTTGTCTTCCAGGTTCTATCCTTGTCATGGCACCTGTGCCTACACACACACACACACACACACACACACACACACACACAAAACTTAAGGCTCTGTTTAAAAAGAAGCTTTCTCTATAGAGCCACTTTGGCACATACATTCTTAAGACTCAGAATCACTTCTTGGAGCACTCACCACAGCCAGAAATATTGTCACACTGCTTTACGGATGTATTTTCACCACCCTGGGTCTAACTTGGGCATCCTGCATGTGAATGATTGGCAATGTTTTTGACATTTTGTCTCTAATTTCTGATACTTTATAGATGCTCACATAGCTTATTATCTAAGACCTTTGAATATATATGAAGGATATATATTCAGCAGAGCCATGGTGGTGAATCAGAGAGACTCATAGAATCTTTTGGAAAGATAAAGATATATTCTGAACCCCGAGACAGTATTCTTAAAATAGTTGAAGATTAAGCCAATGAATGAAGAATTAATATCTGCTCTTGCACCTCAGTTAGGGATTTTTTAACATTATTTCATTAAAATGTGTTTTTTTATTGACCACTGTAATTTTATATGAAAGATTTGGACTTTTAACTTTTTTTAAATGGTTCTCAAACTTTCTGATTGACACATTAAATAGTGACATCATGATCATAATGCTATTGAGGATGACATTGGTAATATACTGACTAATTTAGAGAGTGCAATACACTTAGAAAATATGTCTCGATATCTCAAAAAAGGCAGTATTTTATATTAAGAAAATAGAAATCTCTAGTGCATTATGCGATTCTCAGAAATGAACTTCCAAATTTAATTAATTCCATTAATGGAATTTATAAATCACTAATAATAGGTGTGCTTTGTTGTGTTCTTAAAAGACAGTATTATAAGATGATGCTGGCTTTGTTAGATAAACACTAGAGGCTTTCGTAAAAATGAATAAGCTTATCAGGAATTGTATCTGATAAGGAAGGAATAAACTCAGTTCTAGGAAAATGTCACTTGTTATAGTGTATAAGGAGCATTCAACTGGTTTCTTTTGCATGATAATTTCATGCACATTACAATTGTCAACTCTAGTATAAATGCTGTGATATGTTTACCATCTATACACTCTTAGTAATTTTTACATTGAAAATTTTTATCATTAAACTATTTTATGTCTGAAACTCTTGGTTCTGGATTATTTGAGGAAAGATTATACTCCAAAACAGTTTCTTTCCTCTCTGCCTGTGTCACACATGAGAGGCAATGCTACATGGATTATCCATCCTGGTATTCAGTGAGGATCCCTGAAAGTAAAGAGAAGAGATAGATCTTGGGATAGAAGAGCCTGTCCGCAAAGACAGAAATGTTAGAAGAATGATGGTATAAGACGGTATTACTTCTGGGAAATGTTTTAAGGAAAATAAAAAGACAAATGACAATGCAGAAATAGCATTCATAACATACATGAAAGAGAATGGGTGGTGTGTGAATGCGGTGCTGCATGACTGCAACCCTGGTACTTAATGAGATGAAGCAAAGAGACCAAGCTTTAGCCTGACCTGGACTACTTAGCAAGATTTGTCTCAAGAAAACAAAACAAAATGAACAACAGCCAAAAAAAGAAGAAGGGAGACAGTGGTGGAGGAAGAAGGAAAGTAACAAGGGGAGGGTAAGAGAGGAGAAGAAAGGGGAAGGAGGAAGAGAAGGGGAATGGATACAGAAAGAGAAGAAACTTATGATGAGGTCTTTATAAAAAGCAGTAAATAAAAGAAACTTGTCAATTATTTTTGTTCAAGTAGCTGCAACTTAAACAGTTGTCACCAGCACCAGCACCAGCACCACCATCATCACCATCATGGCCACAATAACCATACACTGACGAGTTGGCATCAGACATTCATCATATGCCACACTAGGAAGTAAACATGGTATCAGTTTCTTAATGAGATGAGTACCAGTGATTGCAGGCCTGGGATGTCAGAGCACGGCCGGCTCTGTCAATCATGCTGAGTCTCTGCCTTCCTGCTCTTCTATCAAGTTTAAACTAATTTACCCCAAATGCTCTGAAGCTGGGTGCATTTGGTGAGTTTCAAATGGCAGCAGTGTAGACAGTAGACCAGAAGGTGACCATACTGGAGAGGGGGCCAAAAATGAATCACCAAGTCAATGTCACCATCCAAAACAAAGACAAGAATAGTTGGGAGTTTAGCAGACTTTGTAAAGTGCAGATCTGAGAAGAGTTTTTGTCAGTTGTCTGTCTTTACAATAAATCAAATAAGAAATATCTGAC